GTTTTGCTTGTAAATCTTCCCTTATATCACTGCATTTTTTTGCGATTCGGACCTTGCGGCTTCTTTGACCGTGTTGTTCTTCGATTTTGAGGCGTTATTAATTCTTTCATAATTATCATATTGCGTTATTATCTCCAATTGTCAAGTTCTTCTTTTGTTCAACTTTTAACAATTCGCTTTCCTTTACAATAATAGTAAACTGGTTCAAATGTTAGTAAATTTCAATTTTTAATTTAAAACTTAAATTAATAAACTAAAAATAATTAAATATACATATATAAGAATTTAAGATAAAAATGATTATAGTCATTTTCTTTTATCTTTATAATTGAAATTGCTTAACAATAGAATCCTTTTAAATATATGAATATTACATAAATGTATTAAATGTGTTCTGAACAAACACAAAATATTTGAATATAATTAAATGAAAATGAATTTAATGTAGAATAAAAATGCATGTTTTATAACATTTGAAAATAATTTGAATTTTAAGACAAAGAAAGTTAAAATTCAACATTAATTTTACTTTATTGTAAATATAACATAAACTCAGTAGCTATTCTCCATTTAACATTAAAATTTAGGATATTTTCTTCACAAAATTACTGCTTATATAAATACTATATAATTATGCAAAAATAATAAAATTTTAGTTTAAATACAAAAGACATTAACTTTATGTTTCTTAAGATTTCTGAATTTTTGTGAAGTTCAAGTTTGTCTTGAAATTGTATTTTGAAAAACCAAGTTATGTAAATCTAGATTTTGTGATTTAAAATTAGAAAAACTATTTACTGAAATATAAATGTTATTTTTATAAATTAAATTTAAAATTTGAGTACAGTTCACGCATTTATGCAGACAAATAAATTTTTAATCGATATTTTGATTTAAAAAAAATTATTAAAAATTTTTATTCATTTCAAACATATTTGTTCAAATATTTCCAACATTTTGTCAGAATCCTTTTTATTATGTTGTAGCTTTGCTTCGCAATATTTTTCTGCAGTTTTTTCACCATTTTTCATGTTCAAATTTAAAATATTTCCAGATAAATTTAAAACTCTAAAATTAAAATAGAATCGTTAAAAATTGTAAAAGCATTATTAATTTATGCTTTTATATTTATTTACCTCAAATGACTCAATTTTTCGATATCCCCTACGATATGAGTCATAAAATTGTTTTGTAAATATAGAAACTCTAACTTTTTAAGTTTTATTAATCCTTCGTATCCTGAACAATCGATTGTTCTGATTCTATTATCATTTAATATCAAACACGATAAGTTTTCCAATTTATAGATTGTTTCTGGTATTACTTCAATACTGAAAAAATAAATATTTGTATATTAAAATTTAATATAATTTTGTATTATTTGTATTTGGAAAAATATTGAAATTATCTTTATTTAATTTAACAAAACTTGATACATAAATATTTAAAATGATTATTACAACTTTTGGATTTATATTTTTAATTATATTTAATATGCATAACATGGATTTATATTATAATTACCGATTATATGATAAATTCAAAACTTTCAAATTCTCGAAAATTTCATGAAAATTTAATGGAAAATATATTAATCGATTGTATGATAAATTTAATTCTTGGATTCCTTTAAAATTATGGGAAATTGTTAAAATGTTGTGTATGTGATTTTTGCTCAAATCCAAAGAAATTATTTGTTGAGACACAGCACTCAAACTATAAAAACGAATTATAAAAAAATAGTGAATGTACCATTAGTTTTTTAACTGTATCTTACATTGTTGGGAAATCTCTTAAATTATTTTCGGAAAAATCAAAATAGCGGCACTTTTTAATTCCACTTAAACTAAAAAATTTCTTTGGTATATAATTTAAATTACGGCCATTTAATTTAAAATATGGTCCATAAACTAATGGTAATGTTGAATCTACCATTATTGGAAAAAACTGATTTGATTTACAAAGTGCAGCTTCTATTTATAGTAAAATATTTTTGTAGCATTTTGTTTTGTTGAAGTACTTTATTTCTTTCAATAAATATTTAGAAAAAGGAATTTCAATTATTTATATATCATTAAAATGTGGCATTGTTACAAAGTTTATTGATTACAGGATTACAACACAGAAATCTCATATTCCTTCATAACATTTTTCATTTCTGGAATTTCTATTTCTTTTCAAGTATTAACAATAACTTCATTTGTTTTTGTCTTAAATTCATTTACATATTAATAATGATCGGATCCATGTATTCAGGTTTTTAAAGCAGCAAAACGATATTAAGGGATAAAGTACAAAATAAAATAGAACAATTGATGAATGGAATAATCAACAAACATGATGAAAACTTACTGAATGCAATATTATTAATTTTTTTTTCTATATAACATTCTTTGAGTTTTAAAACGAAATTAAGTTAAATACATTTTCTGTTTTTAATACAAAAGATAAAGACTTAAAGTGAAGAGAAATTAGTACTCAATTAGTGCACTCAACGAAAAATGTTCACACACTTAAGCTTTCGTAAATTTCACACATAAACCCTAAAGAACCCTAATTACGTTATAAGTATGAAACCAATAAAAATCAACATAAAGTTTTCTTTTGTCTATTACCCTATAATTCTTTAATTTTTACTTTTGGGTTTTTTATATTTCAATTTAGCTGAATTTATTACAATTTATGATAAATTTCAAGTCTAAATATAAAACAAATAACGAAAATGTTTTATTCAAACACTTCTCAATCATAAAATCATTTTCTCTGCTCTAGACATTTTCATTATTTGATTTTATAATATTCTTTTTTAATAAACCTGAGGGTATATTTTCAGGATATTGACCATATTTGAATATTTTAATATTTGTATGAGAGTCTGTGCACTTACAAGATTTATTAGCATCTTTATTTTTTTTATTATTATTAGTCTCTGAAAAATTTAGTGTTTTACAGGTGAGTAATTTCAAAATATTTCTGTCCCTTATATTAAACTTTTCTCATTATTCTAAGGTCATAAAAAGAAGAAAATAGAAAAAAATAATTTTTATTGTGAATTATTTTAAGACATTTGCTATCATAATTTTTAAATTATTGGAATAGGACAAAAATGTTAATGAAATAGAATCGGTCGTGAGTTGTTTGTATGAGTATCAACAACCGTACCGAAAAAATTTATTAAAAATTGTAGTTGTTGTTTGGGTTAAGTGGGTGATTTAATCAGCCAAGAACGTATTTTGTCGATAATCTGAGCTACCTTTTCTAAACAGAAGGTAATTTTGCAAAATGAAATTAATTTAGACGCATTTTACAGTTAGTATATTAAAGATTTGTTAAATTAAAGCATACAAAATGTTTGTAAAATATTTTTTTGGAACTCGATATGTATCAAGTCGCAACGGTTGCAAGATTTCAAATCATAATAAAAATTTAATGTTTTTTACTTGCTGTTAGTTTTTTTTTATTTTTTTGAAACAAGTCATCCAAGACCTTCGTATAACTTGATTTCGTACCCCTTCTACTGAAAGTACTAATGGGTTGTTTTATATTCCAGATCTTCTTAATCTTAGACAAATTTTGCAAAATTTTTAATGCTAGTCGTCATCAGCATGAAATATGATTTATTTTCTACAAGAACCTTTGATTTGCATAATTTCTTATTGGATAAAAATTTGGTAATTTCTTCATCCAATTTTGGGGTAATTTTATAGTCTTTCGACGTTAAATCTATGATTTGAATGAAGACTTCCAATTTCAATTACAACTTTGCTAGCCATCTGTCACAAATTAATCTACATTTGTGTAACAATCTAAAATTAAATAGAAATATAGTTAGAAAAATCTTTATTTTAATATTATAACCTAATTTTTGTGACCTACTTGATTAATACTTTTATTATTATTATTATCATTTTATAGTTAAAAGGTATAATTTTAAATTTTCTCCTACGTACGCATTTCTTTTCTTTTTGTATTCATCATTTTTATTGTTTTATTTTAAATTAAAGTAAAAATTGTAAAATTATATTCTTCCTTCTTTTTTAAGGAATATTAAATTTTTTTTTAAGGATTTTATTTTTATGTTCATTTATGTATACACATTAAGTTGAGAAGAAAAAATGTAAATTACCTGTAAATGTCGTAACAATACCAGAAATATAATAAATCTCCTTTTTTTTAATAAAATGAATATTATATAAATTTTTTTATTTTGAGAAAATGTTTGTAAGTAAACCAAAATAATGAAAATAAGAAAAAAGAAAATTCAATATAAAAATGTTTACGCTCATTTAAGCAATTAACATAAAAGTGAAATTCCTTTAAGATATTAAAACACAAAAATATAGGGAGTAGAGGAAAACAATTGCTTCTAGATGTTATTTTGTTATTAAAAAGTTAAATTATAAAATGTCTTTGATTATTGTGCAGGCATTCGTAATGATTATGCTAAAAAAAGAGATACATTCAAATGCAAAATGATTTTTTAATGCCAATTTAATATCAAAGATGAAATGATTGCTTTTCTTATTTTGCAAATATTAAGGAACATTGCAGATTTAAATGATCATTTATGTATGTATATAGCAGTTTGATTCAATTCTTTAAAGTCTAGTTGCAAATTTTTGTAATGAAATGTGCTCAATTCATAAATTCTATTTAACTATTTAATTCCCAATTAAAAGGAATTCCAATAAGAGAAACTTTTTAATTCAATTGACTTATTAAATTTCAAACTGCACCAAACAACAAACTAAAATAATTTAATTTTTAGTTCTAATTGATATAATATGAATTATATTAAAATTTAAAATATCCTACCTTTATTAAAAGAAATAATTAACGTTAATCCATTAATCCAATTAACTCTGTTCCAGTCGAATTTTGAAATTTTAATGTGTACAATTTTGGTAGGTACCTAACAATATCGGCCTAACCTGGAAAAAACTGGTGTTAGTTTTTTGTGCAAAATAATATAATGTTCACCTTTCTTTCTTGAGATATTAATATAATAATGTTTTAGATTATTTAAATTCTTAATTTAATGCAGAAAAATTATATTTGATCAAAAATAAATTTATAAAATTTATGATGCCAATTTTATTGTCTTAATGCTCTTCTTCTTCTTAAGTTAAGTTTATATCAGTATTCTATTACCTATTTGATAAATAAAAAAGTTAGGAAAAAAAACATTAGTTTAATTTTGTGTAAAATAATAATAAAATGGTAATTTAATATTTTTTTCAATTTCTTATAATATGAGAAATTTAATGTTTCGTAAATTTAATTTTAATAAATTAGATTTTAAAAATGACCATAATATAATTTTAAAGTATAAATTTTATACTTTATTACAAAATTAAATACAGTTTACCTTTGTGTTCGTATGAAAAACGAAAATGATCAAATTTAAAATTTGCTGCACCAATACAATTAATGCGAATACTTCAAATTATAAGAACTTTTCATTTAAAATTCTGTATTGTATTAGAAGCTACCACTAGAAGCTACACGCGGAAAACACTATTATAAAACAAGAATACTCAAACCATTCCTTTAGCATACACAAAATTTTTTCAATCCACTTGGAAATCCTATCCGTTTGTTTAATAAAAATTCATTTTCCAGCATATTCATATGTGAATGGGAAACAAACTTGGAATAGTAAGCAAAGATCTTGTTCAGCTTTTAATCCCTAATAATTACATAACTGATTATTTTATAAACAAAAATAAAAATTTTAGCTTACCTTTCCCATGTAGATGTACTTACATCCATTGTTTCTTGAATCGATGCCAAAATTGACTTTTATTATTTTCATTTATAATTGTGCAATACATTTACGCTCGCCTCGCCACGGTTCCTGTTGCCATTTTACAAACGTTTTTCGCAGCTTTCGCTACCACTAATTTATTCCACTTAATCCACATTGCATATTTCAATATTATCCCTGGGTAATAGGGATGTACAATAACACCCATATAGTATAAATTGTTCATGCTATTGCCCACCAATGTCCAAAAGAATTTCATGTCAACAATAAATTTACGCTTTTATGGCATGTTCGACATTTCTTGAATTTTAAATTTTTCAGTTTTAACTTAGAACGGCAAATAAAAGCCCAACTACTTTCAAAACAGAAACATTTTTTTTCTTATGAACTTTTTGTGAATTCCTTGACGTGTATGTAACATAAAAAATTTTCTTTCAGTTCAGTTACGTGCCCATATATTTTTACATGCGTTTTCTAACATTTTCATTTACATACCTTTTCTGACATTGGTCAATTAAAATATTTTGCTTACTTGTCTTGAAATGCTAATAATGAATCTCACAGCTCTAAACGTCGTTTTTGGGGTTACAAGCACTGAATATTGACTGAATATTTCAATTTACTTATATTCTGTACAGATTGAAATAATGTTACATACGTGAAATCGACTTAAATTTGACATTAGCTGACAAGCATGACACATTAATTTGTCATTTATAATCTTTTAATCTGCGTATATGTAGAAGACTTTCAAGTCAAGACACGGCTGGTAAAAATATTTTTGTTATGTCAAGAGTAAAGCCAATAGTTTTATGTCATCGACGTGACTCGAAAATTTCAAGTCAAGTAGCGATATTAGCTCGAAATCCGCTTGAAGTCGATTTCATGCCGCATATAAACGCAGTGATCGTGTTTTATATAAATTTTGATATTTCGCCGCGAAAAATCGCTTTTGTTTTGTTTTCAACATAAGCAAGGTAATTGTGTAGAATTGTAGCTAAAAATTATGTAGAAATTAGAAATGATTAGTTGTGCAGAGCTTTTATTTTTTCATATTTGTTTTTACACATTAATTTTATAAGGATTTTAATAAAAAAAATTTATAATTTCACCCAGAAAAAAACAAATAACCTAAATGAATTGTGTAATCACTACAAACTTATATACACATACCTGTGTAAATATTTTGTGTGTACCTACTTTAGTGTTTACTGTTTTTAATGCTTATGAGTTTTGTCAACTATTTTGAATGACATTTGAAAGGATCAAGTGTACATCATATGAAAGCTTTACGATTTTTCAGTTAATTTTGCAAAATAAAAGTTATCACTTTGAAATAAGTGATAAATGAATTTATTTAGTCTAATTTTTTTTTGTATTGTTGTAAATTTTGATTGTCACATATCACATCATGAAAATTAATAAAACAAGAATGGATATTTTCAAAACTTGTATATTAAACGACCTGGTGACCTAAAAATTGGCTTTTAATTTGAACTATAAAAATTCAGTGTAAAAGGGCGCAATGTGGAAATGTCACAATTAAAGGAAATTTAATTGAATAAAAAATTTCAAGTTCTAAATTTTGAACGAAATTAAGTGCAATGAAATTTTCATAGAAACGTTTAATAAAAACCAGGATGAAAAAAAAAAATTTATCCAGGACTCAGGAACATGTCATGTAAGAAGTGTTCAAAGTTCAAAAGTAAGTATGTATGTAAGCATACAAAAAAAAAAAAAATAAATTTTCTGAATATTTTTGGAAATTTTTTACTTAAACAGAAAGAAAACGCCAAAAAATCTGTGTATAAACAAGGAATATTTATTATATTGTGTGTATTTTTATTAAACATTTTTCATCACATCCAAAAATAAATATTGTAATATGAATTATAAATATGTTTAAATCCTTCACTTAAATTTTTTTATGCCATTCATTATTATTTTGGATAGATTTATGTGCTGTAACCCTTAGCCAAAGTGAAGTGATTTATATAAGAAACGAAATTGTTAAAGCGAAAAAATTCTATAGTAAAACTGATTGCCGTTCTGTTCTAATTATAATTGTATTGACTAAAGAAACGGTATTGGAATGTATTTGGAAGGGTAACGATATTTGCTACAGAACCAGAAATTTCTTAAAGAAATTTATAAGAAGAATAAATATCGTACTGCCGATTAAGTCATGAATTTTTGACAACATGCTTTTTATTGTTCGTCTTAACTCAGTTCAGACGTTACTTGAATGTTTGAATTTTTTTTTTAAAAAAAGTTTACAAATATTTGAGATAATCGGAATTCGCCTTAACTATTATTTTTGTTCATTAATAAAAATTTTCGCAGTCCGCTTCAAATTGTTTCCTTACTGAGTATCTAAAGTAAAATTTTAATAGTTTTTAGAACGTCGGTCCTATTTTCGTTTAAATAGTTTATTGATGGATTGATAGAAATCACCAGAATTTTTGGTCCAAGTATAATTAAACAAAGAGCACAATTTTATTTGTTTATAAACTTACACAATCGAAACGTAAGTCAATCAAATTTTTATATTTGATGGAAAAATCAATTAAGATTTCCAGTGAAATATCAATTTATCAGTAACTAAGTATGCTATGCTACTAATAAATAGTTAGTTACTTGGAAACTTAGTTAATTATCAGTAAATAAGTTTCCAAGTTCAGTACTTTTGAATTTTTCGATAAAATTTTAAATATTTTTTATTGCGTCATAAATGGTTAGCAGAAAAATAATTTGGAATTGCAATTTAAAAATATTTCAATATTTTTATTATTTTTTTTTGAACAAAATTAAATTATTTCGGTATAAGAAAAATCTTAAACTTCGTAAATTTCTCCAGCCAATAAATTTATTTATATTGTGTTAAATTGTTTTTCCATTTGAATATCTTAACACGGCTTTTATAAAAAAAATATTAAGAAAAATATTATACTTAGTACATAAACATAAATTAAATATTTTTATCCTTATATGCAAACGTATTATATTAGGTATTTAGTATGCATGTATATATATCAAATACTTGAAGCAATATATTATTAGGCCTGCCTCAAGTTCGTGTATTCTTTTATATGAACTTAAATCTCTCACATATATAATATTTTATACTTCTATTGGATTTTCCTTCAACATATCCTTTAATAACTAATATTTTTATCGCTTTAATATTATTTTATTTACATTATATTTTTTGTATACCGACTTATCTATAGGTGCTCACCTATATCAATGTGCATTTGTATTATATGTCGTATCCTGGATGAAATTATGTACTCATTTACTGGCATGATTACATATACATAATATTTATGTACATTATATTTAAAAACTGAAATGCTTTTTGCCTGCATGTGTGATCATAATGTTTTCTATACATATTTCTGTCTTTTTAGTGAAAATCAGCGAGAAAATACAAAAAAAAAGAAACACAGAAATTTTCCACAAAATGCACAGTTAGTTGTGTAAAATTAAATAACAATAATTCTCCTCGGAAATTTTCTGACTATAAATCAATCGAAAGTTGACTAATAGCATCCGGCAAATATTGTTATGTCCTTTTTTTGTCCTTGATATGGTTATATTATAATATTTTTTGAATATTTTTTATTATAATTCAACTTCATACCTTATTCTCTCTTTATAATATTTTTATTTGTATGTTGATTTGTACTCTAAATTTAATAGTTCATACATACACATGTGTGGAAGTTCATGTAATTTTTTAGTTTCTGTTTCATAGCTTATTAACCATATGTTATGCACATTCATACACTAAAAATGTATATTTTAAAGAAAGGAAATCCATTTAACTGGTCTTTTACATATCCCATGTTTTGAAATTAATAAATTATACCTTTTTACTTATAAAAGGATATACGCATATACAAGCATAATATTACAGTGTTTATATGCAAATACTACGTTGTGTATTGTAGAAATTACAATATTTTTATGTAAATATGAATTTCAGTAATAATATATAGTTAAATAATATTACATTAATCTGAAGCGGATGTAAAGTGTAATGTTCAATATTTAAAATATATGACGTATGTTATGTAATAATTATTTTAAATAAATTTTAACGTTTAAATATTTTTAGGAAAATTATAATACCGCATGCAGCTCAGTTGAAATAATAATAGTATTTAACGTATGGCATTGTAATAATATTTTGGTATAAAGAACGAAAAGCGAGACAAAATATTTAAATCTACCTATACTGTTATATCATACATCATACATATATTAGAATGTTACTTTAAACAGGAATTGAAAAAATATGTAAGGGCTTAAACAATTCTTTGAATTTCTGAAAAGCAGAAATATCTTAAATAAGAAAATATTGGGATATTTGAATCTTAAATAAGGAAAATTGTCAAAATTTTTTACAATTTCTAATGGAATTAGCCTGTCAATCGAAAAGTGAATAAACACAGTATATGTGTGTTTAAAAAACTGCTTGGTTGTATTTGGAAAATCTCATTTCTTTAAAAATATAAAATCCATTAAATGCAGTAAAACTGGTAAATTAATGTTTAATAAAAGGACCGATTTAGTGTAAGTTCAACATGCAATCATATTTTATAATTTTCATATATGTATGAAACATAATTACAATGATAGCTGTATGTACGTTACTTTACATTCCAATGCACATAATATGTGTAGACTAGGCATACATTATGTAAATATTAGAGGAATGTAAAAGTGTAAAACAATATGCTTATAAAGTAATGAATGAGCTCATATATATTATTTTTGTATATCAAAAATGAAAAATATTAATGTTAAATAGTTATGTAATGAAATATGGTTATTGTTGTAACCGAAAATAATCTAAAGTTTTACGATCATAAATGTGCAATTTACTGCCATTTAGACAATTTTCATTTCATTTTTTCCTGTGCAGTTTTATATTGCATTTTGCATATTATAAGTGCAGTGAGTGAAAGATGGAATTTGTATGTTATGGCGATTTTATTGGCACTAAAACTTCATAATGAATTCTTTTTTGTAAAAATGTTGCAGAAAAAATATTTTATATACATAGGGTTAG